CAGTGCTTGGGACCTGGGAAGGCCGCTGTGGGGGTTCCCAGGAGTCAGAGACCCACAGAGGTGTGGGTTTGCTGCTCTGTGGGGCCTACCCAGTAATCTTGCTGTGCCCTAACACCTCTGGAAATGGTAACTAGGGACAGAGTAAGGGGATTATTTACAGTAGTCCAGTGCCGGGGCAAAGCAAGATATATGTGCCACCTGTTGACTTAAGAAAAGGGCAGAGCAGGATTTTTGAGGCTGAGATGTCCCTTTCAGGTCACTATCTTCCCACTACCTACCTATCTACCTATCTAGCTGCGACCGAACTGGAGCACTCAGAACCTACCAGGCACTACCAGCTTTTCTACCTGCCAGACAGAACTGGACTACTCGGAACACTCCTCCTGGTTCCACCTGTGCCAGTGGAGAAGGGACAACACTGTGTCCCTTACGAACGTTAAGGGAGGATTTCTAGCCATCAGTGAGTCAGGTCTGCTGTCTAGTTTATATATTCACTCGTTAATTCAAATATTTAATGATCAACCTGCTGTGGACTAAAGTTCAGGTTTTCAATTAGGAAGCAGGAGCTATAAAAGACATGGGGGTAGAGGAGACCCAAGACGCTATAGCTCAGTGACAGAGCACTTGCCTCGTATGTGCCAGGCTAACACAGGCAGGGAGGAAACAGAGGTGAGAAAGCCTCCAACTGGAATTTCCCCGGTGGCGGTGAGCTTCCTAAGAGAGACGGGGGCCGTTTCTACAGAATGCTGGTGAATGAATACCATGGAAGGGGACAGCCCTCCAAGATCATTCCTTCCTCCCTTCGCAAATAGGCTTCTTGTCAATGCTTAAAGTTCTGACATTAGAAATTTATTATTCTGTATCTGTCTCCTCCTCCTTTGAAGTAATTTTTCCAGTATAAATATCAAACATGCTTGTAATAGAAAAATTGGAAAATAAAAGGGGTAAAAATATTTTTGCACACCTCCCCAACCTTTAGGGACCCCACTGTTAATGTTTTGGTATTTTTTTCTACCCTTTTCTCTTGACGTTTTCAGTCTTAGGTGAGTGTCTCATGAGAGGGGACCTGAAACCTAGTTCAGCTTCAGTCTTCTTTCAGTCTGATGTACCAGAAGCGTCAGGTCCCCTCCACCAAGTGTCAGCACTCAAGGACCTTACCCACCGTTAGAGACTTTAGTGTGCCAGCAAGTCCTGTGACTGTAAGGAAGTTACTCTCCTTTCTGGACTTCAGTGCTGCATCTGTATAATGGGGTAACAATGATCAAGTGTGTTACCTCACAGTATTCCAAAATCAAATAATGCAAGTGACGTGTTGTAAGATATTGCCAAATACGGCTCAAAGGTGTGAGATCAGGACTGATGGGAGAGGTCAGAATAGAACTAGTCTTAACAAGGCCACAGCAAAGAGGGCCACAGGGAGGACGAGAGAGGAGAAGGAGAGGGAATATGAATAAACCCACACTGGGCCTGTCAGGGCCTCTGCAGGGGCAGTGCTCACGAGGTGACTTTTGGGTCTGCTTGGGCTGTAGTGTTTTCTCTCAGAACTGCTGGAGCATTGCTTACCTCACCTCCTGCTGGGTTCAGAGTCCAAGTCTAGTAGAGGTGGGAGAGATAATACCACCCCGAAGGTGGCATTTCCACTCCCTTGGGGCTGGTGGCGAGCAGAGGTGCACTCTGTCTGGGATTTAGAGGTGCGCAAGACTTAGGCTAGAGGGAGATAGATTTTTTTTTTCAAGGTTGCTCCGGGCCAGGGCAGGTGGCCTGGAGGAGTAGGAGAAGGGAGCAGGCAGGTAGGAGAGGAGGGAGGTCTGAAGACATCTTGAAGCTGGTTTTCACGAAGCCATTGCAAGGTTTTTGCCACTATGCTTGTGACCTCAAAGGTGTGTATGCGCAGGGGGTGGAGAAGACCCAGGCCCTGAGCTGTGGCTGCCTTGGGCTGGTTCATGGAGACAGGTAGCTGCATGTGAAAGTCTAAGAATGCCTCTTGCATACCTGTGTGAACATGTGGATCCAGAAAAGCTGTGAGTCTGCCTAGGAATTTAGACATCCATGGGGGAGACGTAGGGAAGTCTGTATGCCACTGAATGTCTGGACTTGTGCTGTGTGTGTGTGTGTGTGTGTGTGTGTGTGTGTGTCCATGTATGCGCTCAAGGGAGCTTGCATCAGTGTAGAAAGGAGCACTTTTGTGAACTTCCACTGTATTTATATGACACTCCCTAACCCTGCAGCCCATGCAAAATCTACAGGCCAAGGTGTAAGCTGGCAACAGCACGAGTTTCCTAAGTGTTTACTGTGAGCTCTGTCTGCACCAGACTCCAGAGACACAGAGACAAGTAAAATTGAGGCCTGCCCCTGAATTAGCAGGTTAGGGTGGGAAGAGCAACAGCTATTTATGTCCCAAGGTTGTAAAGTCAAGTTTTTCCCCAGGGCCCTCAATACTGTAGTGTAGGAGATCTATTTCACTAACATCTCCCGCTCCAGACTGACGGTTCCTTGAGGATCAGGACATACCTGATGTTCTGACAGAATGTCACAGGCTGCTGTTTGTCAGATGTTGTTTCTGTACCTGAGGTCATCATGACCCATAGCCAGCTCAGGCAGTCCTCCTGAGGCTAGACTCAACTCCCCCTTCCTCCTCTAAAGCTAGGCCGAGTGCACCAGCTATTTCAGCTCTCCTGGTCTCAGTCTTCTCATCTGTGCAAAGAGGATCATTATCTCATTGTCTCAACTTCCCTGGGGACTTGAGGTTTCAGTGAGAACATGCGCGGGCCCTGCTGCGTGTGTACACATGGAACTCATACTGTGAAACCCTGTTGGCTAAGCAGGAGAAGCAAGCTCTGAAGCCTCTGTGGGCAAGCAAGGATAGCCCCATGGGCAGAATAGGCAGGATCCCCAGGGCAGAGTCCATGCCATTGATTGGTACTGGTTCAAGAGCATCCATCTGATCATTATCTACATGTTTCTTATTATCTAATTCTGGTGTGTCCCCCACCCTCTATAGCACAGCTTTACGTTAGACATAAGCATGTAACATCTATGAAATGTTCAAGATGTGTCAGGTGGGGAGAAATTGTCCTCTCCTATCGTGCACATTCTCAGTGCACATGTGTGCTTGTGTGTATGGTGTGTGCTTATGGGCTTGGGGACAGGAGAGGCAGCTGGCAGCCCAAGTTGGGCCCACTTCCTCCACACCTGCACGCACTTGGGTGTCCATGAGCACAGCTAGAGTTTGGGGCCATCTCTCCACCACCCCTGTCCACAGCTCTTCCTCTTCTCTGATGTGCACTCCTGCTGAGGCCTCTCTTCCTCTGAGCCTCCTCCATCCTGGTTCAGGGTCTTACCAGTCATGTGCTGGAGTCAGGTCCAAACTGCTTGCAGAGCCAAATACTGTTCTCTTCCTAACCCCAGTGATCAAGGACCCCATTAACAGTTGGAAAACAGGGCCAGGGACCTAGCTCAACTGACAAAGTGTTTGCCTGGCGAGCATGAGGACAGGGTTCAATTCCTGATACAAGAAAAAAAAAAAAAAAACCAGTTTGAAACCAGTCATGGAGGGAACATTTACATTGAAGGGTACTGAGTCCCTGATACAAATCAGACATCATCCACAACCCCCAAGGCAGTTGTAAACACCAGTACACTAGTGCTGCCTGCAGGCAAGCCTGATAAAACAACTGATGGAGTCCTAGGGCCTCCTAGACATTTGACATATTTGCACAAAACCCCGTAAGCTATTTTGTCAGCATCTCCATTTCACATCTGGAGGTCATAATTTACAGTTGTACTCTAGGTCTCTGTGCATAATGCAGCCTTACGAATAGAGCCACAAGATCTGATAGGGCCATGTAGTCACTCTGCTCATTTCGAAGAGAAACAACTTAGAGAGGCTTACTATGACAGGGGCTTTCTCTCTTAATAAGACCTAACAATGTAGTAACCAGGCTTGAAACACACTGCCCACATCATGCCAGGTCCAACCACAAAGCCAAGTCCCTGTCACCTGATGTTCTGTTCTACATGCATGGTTGATTTGGTGGTGGTGGTGCGCTATACATGCAAAACATATTTTGTTTTGCTTGATTCGATCCAGTGTTCAAGACTCTCAAAAATGTTTTAAAACTCACTTGGATCATTGATTGTATGTCTGTCTCCTTCCTAAATTGGTGCCACTCCCTGTTTTGATGACTGCACCTTCACTAGAGGAATTAGTTAGACTTTTAAAAGAATATGCAAGCCAGAGTTTTAGGCCCCAACACCTAAAGTTGCTGTCTCTGATAGGAATGTGTGTGGCTCTCACATACCCTTAGGAGCAGGTCCCTCCTCCCTTGTGGTTCTGCCTGAGCTACTGCCCAGAGAGGTTGATTCTCTCTCCTGGCAAATATCAGCAGCATTTTGCTAAACACCTACTGAGCCCTGTGTGTGCCTCTCAGTGACAACCAGCTTCCCCTTTGTCCAGCAAAAGTCCTTTCCCTCTGTCACTGTATATGAATTTTTCCAGCTTCCAAAGAGAGGCTCTGTGCTTGCTAGACGCCCCTACCCTCACAGTCTCCGGGCGGCGGCTGCGAGACGCGGGCCGGCTGGAGGAAGGTGGACAATAACTAGTGTTTCCCGCAGATTCCGGACGCAGATCTTCTATCCCCCACCCTCGGGAGAGAGATTACACGTCGCCCCACCCTGCAAACTCTGTCAGTCTCAGCCTGGCATCCCCGTCCTCCGCCTCTCCAGGCCCGCCCGGGGGGCTTCACATTCCGCCTCTGCGTCCCGGGTGGGCACGGCGCCAGGTGAGCGCTCACCTGGGGCGGGAGGGTGAGGGCGAGGGGGGCGGGGCGGGGCGGGGCGAGGGCCACCGCGGGGGCGGGGCGAGGGCGGCAGGGCCAATGGGGGAGGAGGCTCGCCCCGGCCCCGCCCCCCGCGCCGCTCCCTCCCTCACGGCTCCCGCTCCGCCCCGCCCGAGTTTAAAGCCCCGCGGGCGGCCGGTGGCGGTGCTGCGAGCGCTGAGCTGCGCGAGGAGATGCTAGAGGGCGCCGCGCCGCCGGCACCATGCGCCCCGCGCCCGCGCTGGCCCTGGCCGCGCTCTGCCTGCTGGCGCTGCCCGCCGCCGCCGCCGCCGCCTACTTCGGGTCAGTCCCGCCGCGCCCCGGCCCCCACCTCCACCTCCACCTCCTCCGGCCTCCGCGGGGTCAGCCCCCCGCGCCCCACCCGCTGTCTCGGACCCTCGCCCACGGGGCCCGGCCCACCTGGCAATGGGAGTTCGCGCCGGACCTCAGTCCTGGGCTCGGGCACCGGTCGCCCCTTCTAATGTCTTGGGCGTCCAGCGCCCCCTCTCTGCTCACCCGCCGGGTGTCAGACTCCAGCCCAAGTTCCCAGTCCTCTCTGTCTGCTGCGCCCCTCTCCCTGCGGTCCCGCGCTCGCATGCCAGCTCTGGGTCTTCATTTGGGCGCCTGTCTGCCCCTATTCAGGGCTCTGTCCCGGGTCTAGCCTGGGACACCGAGACCCGGAGGGCTGGCCGATGGAAGGGGTGGGTTGTTCTCAAGATGGATTGGAGGATCTTGCAGGTCTAGGAGAATGGAGAACCCAGGGAAGGACGGAGGGGAGTGTCAGCGCCCCAGAGCCGGACCAGAGGACCAGACCTCGGTCCTGGCGTCGAGCGTGGATGCTCTCAGAATGATGGAGAGGGGAGAGGGGACTATTTCGGGAGATGTACGTGACTGGAAAAGGAGGATCACTGATGGGATGACACCTGGGGAGAGGCAGGTGCAGGAACGGTGAAGGGGAGCTTGGAGTGCAAATTACAGCGCGACTGTTTCCAGGTTTCTTCTGCTCTGACCCTTGAATTGCAAGGACTTGGCAGGGTGCGAAGTAGAGGAGGCGTCATGGATAAGCATGCACCTTCCCCGTGAGCTGACTCCAAATGTCAACAGACTGAGTTTAAACCTGGCCTTTTTTGTGAGCTTCACCCCAGATCAAGGCAAGGTTTGCATTCTGACCACAACAAAGGCAAAAGAAAAGTCCCTCAAGTGACCCACCTGAGGCAGCTCTTATGAACCTACCTGGTCAGGACCTGTCAGGGTCCCTCACAAGTTGAAATAAGGGCTGCAGGCTAATTTCCAGGTCATGACCCCTGGTGAAAAGTGCCAGGGCTGTAGGCAATGGACTCCCTGACATAGCAGGGAATGAGGTCAGCTCAGACCTAGGGCTAGTCCTATAGGCCTACAGCTTAGTAATGTCCTGTGAAGACCACTTGGTCTCTAGGCCTCAGTTTCTCCTTTTCTAAAAAGAGGGGACTGAACTTGCTATGTGATCCAATCCAAGATCAGTGCACCTATGTAATGTTTGTTTCCCAAGGATTTCAGGTTTGAAGGAACTCTTCCTGTCTCAGCAGGAAGACATAATGAGTGCAGCACAAATTGGGTTTGATCCTGCCCATTGCTAGCTGTGTGCTCTTGGCCAAATTATTTAACTGCTTTGTCTCTCAGTCGGTGCGTATTTCATAAGAGGGCTGAGTACATATAAAGCACTTACAACAGTGCCTAGCATGTAGTAAATGCTCAATTAGTGCCAGCAATTGTTATTGTTATTGTTAGTATTAAGGAAACCAGGTACACAAGACATCTGAGAGGTTTCTAAGCTGGAATGGATCAAGGAAGGACACTAGCTCATTTCCACAATTCTTTTGTTTGCTTGGGTTTTATGGTTGGAGATAGGAGCGAAGGTCAGATGGTGTAGGAGGAGAAGAGAGGGGTCCAGGAGATCTGGACCACCCTGCTGGTGTGTTAAGAGGGAAGGAGGTTCTTGGCAGTACACAGTGCTAGAATTTGGGGGCTGTGATGAGGAGCAGTGTTAGAAATGAGAAGGGAAATGGATTAGGGCTGAGAGGCTACCTCTTCCAGCTCAAGAGCCCAAAAGCTATCACTACCCGAATCTGGAGAACAGGACAAGTGCTCAGAGAAAAAGCTAAGATTAGCGCCTCGTGTTGTTAAATGTTTGGTCCAGAAGACGATAGGATTCAATCAAAGCCTTTTACTGAGGAAACCCTCTTGTGACTCAGTCAGACCAGGATATCCTGCTTTCCATCAGAATTCGTTCTTTGGAAGGAATCTGTTATCAGTCATGCACACTTTAGTGAGAGTGTGAGGCAATATGTTTCTCCTTTCGCCCAGGTAATTTGCACTTGAAGTTTCATTTCTTATTATAACTCCTCTTTTATTTCAGATGGGGAGTCTCCACCCTCAAACTGTAATGAGCCAGCAGTGGCTTCTGCTTCTTTTGTAGGAGCCTAAGTCCAATTGTCTTGATGATGGTGGTAACATGACACTGTACATAGTATAGAAGTTCACAAATCACTTCCTCATGCAGTCCCCTCTCTGAATTCTGTGGTATGAAGGATGGGTGTGGATGGTTCCCAAAGGAAACCGAAGCTCAGCAAAGTCCAGTGAGTCACCTGATGTCACGTCTGGATTAATCGTGGCGGGTGGTTGTGTGGCAGAACAGAAACCAGGTTTTACCGTGGGTCTCTGTTCCATGCCGTGCGGGGAACTGTGGGACACTGCCTCCAAGGGGGGCAGCAGCTGCCGAGGGGCTGGCCTCCCTTCCTCCCTCCAATAGTTAATTCTTTCAGACCTGTACCCCAATGGGAGAGGCCACAACACTCATCTCAGTCGTTGGCAATGAGACAGAAGGCACTGAGCCCTGCTAGCCTGCCAGGGTGGAATGATGACATTGGGACAGGAAGCGCTTAGAACCCACCAGCCACCGAGAGCCAGCTAGCACCGAGTATGCACCAGCTACCCTGTCAGGCTGTGTCACTCATTATTTCAAGCCTTGCGCCTGTTTTTAAGAACTTTAATCTTAATCTCAGCGAGATTCAGACATCTGCCCAAAGTCACACAGCTAGCAACAGGCAAAGCCTGAACTCAAAGGCCTGTGCATTCATCAACTTCCTTGTCCTGTCCCTGCTACGGAAGAAGCTTGAGAATCCACCCAACAGCCTAGCCATCTCCCTGCTGGGCTATTGAGGTGTCAACACTGTAGTTCCACCATAGAACCATATTATAACCTTTATGTTTTCAAAAGTAGTATACACATGAGGAGATGCATGCGTTTTCAGCATAATTTGGATGGAACAACTTAGTGGTGACCCCAGGGATTCACCACCCTAAGGGATCCCTGTGCTTCTTTGTGGTCAACCCTTCCCCACCAGTCACTAGAGTACCTCATTTCTTTATCAGCTTTGCCCCTTAAAGAAGTTTGTGTAAATGCAGTCATGTGGTACATAGGTTTTTGTTCCTGGATTCTTTTGCTGAACATAACAGTGTTTGAGGTTCATCCAGAGTACTACGCATATCGATCATTGTTCCTTGGAGACAAGGTCTCACTGTGCAGTGCAGGCTGGCCTCGAACTCGCTTATGTAGCCCAAGTTGGCCTCAAACTCATAGTGATCCTCCTGCCTCAGCCTCCCGAGTGCTGGAATTATAAGCTGCATCACCACACTCCGTTCTTTTTATTTATTTATTTTGGTACTAAGAATTGAACTCAGAACTTTGGGCTTGCCAGGCAGGCACTGTGCAACTGAGCTTTATCCCCAGCCCTTATCTTATTTTTTTTTTTTTTTTTTTTTTGTCTTTTTGAGACAGGGTCTCACCATGCAGCTCAGGCTGGCCTTGAGCTCACTTTGTAGCCCAGGCTGGTCTCAAACTCACAAGGATCCTCCTGCCTCAGCCTCATGAGTGTTTGGATTACACCATCATGCCCAATTCTTTTTTTCTTTATTCTTAAGTAATATTTCATTATATGAATCTATCACAAGTTGTTTATTTATTTCTCAGTTGATGGTCATTTGGCATCCTCCCAATAAAGGTGGTGTCAGCCTCCATTTACCTCTATTTTGTGGACATTTCTTTTCATTTCTCTTGAATAACTGTGAGGAAGAGTTATGGATCTTATGGTAGGTACATGTTTAATCTATAGGAAATGACTAATTGCCCAAAGTGCTTGTATCATTTTACAAAGTAATGTATGAAAGCTTTAGTTGCTCCACGTTCTTGTCATATATTATCAGTTTTTTGTTTACTTTGTTTTTTTTTTTTTTTTGTCTTTTTCCTTTTTATCGGTACCCGGGATCGAACTCACGACTGCCTGCTTGCAAGGCAGGCGCTTATGCCGCTGAGCTAAATCCCCAGCCCCTTGTTTACTTTGTTTTTGTACTGAAGAATAAACTCAGGGTGTGGTGCATGCCAGGCAAATGCTCGGTCAGTAGGCTGCGTCCTAAGCCCTTACAGTCGATTTTAGTTGAAGCATGTTAGTGGCTATGTGTTGGGCATCTTTGCTTTTAACGTGCATGGACCCATTGGTGAGCATTTTGTGCATTTTGACAGTTTGACTATTTTTTCATTGGATTATGAGTCATTTTATTAATGAATTATAAATATGCCTTATATATTTTGGATATAAGGTTTTCTTTGTCAGCAAGTATTTTGCCCCTGCCCATGGCTTGTCTTTTCATTTTCTTCCTGGCATCTTGCAAAAAACAGAAGTTTATAATTTTGATGAAGTTCAATGTATCTTTCAACTTTTTATTCGACGGATTTTACTTTTTTTTTTTTTTGTATCCTATCCAGGAGATCTGTGCCTGCCCAAAAGTTGCAAAGATTTATCCCTATGTATGTTTTCTTTTGAAGCTTTATAATTTTGTTTTGCACTTGGCTCCGTAATATACTTGAGCTAATTGCTTATGATGTGAGATATGGGTTGAGGTAGATTGCTTTCCATCTGGGCATCTATTTGTTCTAGCACCATTTGTTGAAAACGTGACTCTTTCTCCATTGTCTTATTCGTTGCAAATCAATTGATCTAAGCAGTGGGGTCTATGTCTAGATCCTCTATATGTTGTTCTCTTAATCCATATGCCCATCTTTGTGTCAATACCACGTGGTCATGATTACTATAGCTTTATAGTAAGTCTAGAAACCAAGTACTAAAAATTGTCTCTTTGTCCTCTTTCAAATTTATTTTGAGTGTTCAGGTTCTTTGTGTATTTACATACATTTTAGTATCATCTTATCAATATCTACATGAAAGTCTGTTGCGCTTTGGTTGAGATCAGATTGAATCTATAAACCA